CCCAGGCGCCCTATCATACCTTTAATCTTTACAGCAACTCTACAAGATGAGTACTATGATTATTCTCATTTTACTGAAGAGGAAGATTAAGTTAGGGACATTAAGTAATGATCTCAAGGTTAAACAGCTAGGAAGTAGTGGAGGTGGGACTTGCATCTAGGCATTCTGATTTCAGAGCATTCATTATTAAGTAGTATGATTTACTGCTTGTACTTAGAGAAAGGTATAGCATTGTTGTTTCATCATAGTGACTATAATTATTAAGATGGCACTTGAGGACTTGGAAAATATAAATTTGGTCTCGTATCCAGAGACCTAGGATGCTTTGCTAGTTCTGGAAAGACTAAATTATGTGTGGATTGACTAGAGTAGGCCTTTACTTGTGGGGAACCCTGGCGTGTATACAGAACTTGCTTTTGGCTAAAGCTTTTAAAAGCTTAAAACTCAATAATAAAAAGAATTTGATTAAAAGTAGCCATTATACTGGAATTAAAAAAATAAAAAATAAATGAAAAAGTAACCAAAGGATCTGAATAAACCTATCTGCCAAGAATTTCTGCAAATATCCAATAAACCTGTGAAAGATGTTCAACAGCATCAGCTATCAGAGAAATGCAAATTCAAACCATAATGAGATACAACTTCACACACTAGGATGGCTGTACTCAAGAAGGCAGACAATCGAAAGTGTTGATACATATCTCTGGATATGTCTCTGTATCAGAACCCCTGTATGTTGCTGGTAGACATGTAAAATGGTCTGGCAGCTCCCCAATAGAGTAAAGATAGAGTTACCATATGACCCAGCAGTTTCATTCCTAAACTTATACAGAGAAAGGAAAACATATGTTCTCACAAAAATGTGTACGTGAATGTTTATAGCAACACTATTCATAATAGTAAAAAGTGGGAACAGCTCATGTGTCCATCAACTGATGAGTTGTTAAATAAAACCATTCACAAGCCATTCATAAAACCATACAGTGGCGTATCCATACAATTGAATATTATTTGCCCATGAAGAATAATGTACTGATAAGTGCTACAGCATGGGTGAACCTTGAAAACATGCTAAGTAAAAGAAGCCAGACACAAAAGGCCACATGTGTGATTGTATTTATCCAAAAATTCCAGAATAGGCAAATCTGTATTTAGAGACAAAGTAGATTAGTGGTTTCAGGGGGTTGGGGATTGGGAGAAAATGCGGAGGGACTGCTAATGGGGATGGAGTTTTTTGTTGGGTGATAAAACTGTTTAAATTTAGACTGAGGCAGTGGTTGTACGACGCTGTGAATATACTGAAAGCCACTGAACTATATACATTTTAAATGTGTAGATTGTGTGATACGTGAATTATATCTCAACAAAACTGTTTAAAAAAAAAAAATCACTGATGTTCTCTTTATAGTAGATTGGGGTGGAGACAGAGGAGCTCTTGAGAACAAAAAGCCGGCCCTGGAAGCATGGCACAAGGGTCTTGGGGGCTTCAGTGGCAGTGGGATAATTCTTCAGGGAATGCACAAGATGAATCAGGATGGTAGGATCCCAGGTGAAGTGACACTGGGAAGGAGGAGAAGGGTAGATTCCTAAGGGTTTTTCTACCTCATCTAACTCCCTCTGAGTGCCTAAAGGACATTTCTAAGTGCTATACCTTGTCAAATGAGGCTTGATGATAATAACATGGGATAAAGTTTTGATTCTGACTCTGAAATTCTGAAACTTCCTGTTCAATCTTTTTTTCCAACTTTATCTCTGGATATGTCTATCAGCCTTTTTTTTTGAGGGAGAGAACACGAGTGAATGCGAGAGAGAGAGAATCTCACAACCCTGAGATCATGACCTGAGCCCAAATCAAGAGTCAGGCGCTTAACCAGCTGAACCACCCAGGTGCCCCGTGTATCAACATCCTTCTAAAAAAGAAAAACTAAGGGGCGCCTGGGTGGCTCAGTCGGTTGAGCATCTGCCTTTGGCTCAGGTCATGATCCCAGGGTCCTGGGATCGAGCCCCAGGTTTGGCTCCCTGCTCAGTGGGGAGCCTGCTTCTCCCTCTCCTCCTGGCTTGTGCTCTCTATCTATGTCTCTCTTTCAAATAAAGAAAATCTTTAAAAAGAAAAACTTTAGAAGTTATATGTAGTTTATTCTTCACTAAAAAACATTTTGTCATTCATTCCTATGCTGAAAGTATTTTGATGGCAAGAGGTTATTGAAATCATAAGCATTTTATTGACAAATTAGTGTTGTGATATTATTTTTGTTTATTTTTGTTTTAGATGCTGTTAGAGAAATTTATTGAAGAATGCAGGTTCCCTCCAGTGCCAGATGCCATTTGTTGCTATCAGAAGTGCCGTGGATATTCCAAAATCCAGATATATATAACTGATCCAGACTTCAAGGTATAGGCATAATGTACATACTTTACATAATGAATGTACAGTAGGACAGTAACTTGTAGAATTGTGCCTTAAAATGGATTCAGAACAAATTCTGTAACTGGAGGTACTCAAGTTCTCTGCTGTAAGCAGTTTTATGTCCTCTTGTCTACCCTATCCCCTGGACTTCTATAGGTCTGCATCATCTCATTTGGGAACCCAGAGCCACTAAGTAAACACTGAGTGCAGGGGTAGTCACCTAAGAAGGCAGGCTGGCTAATTCTATTTCCCCTTTTTAGCCACTGTTCATATAACTTGCCTATTTCAAAGGAGCCCAGGAAAGAAAATGAGATTATTACTTCTGACTGGTTGCAATTTTAATTTCTTGTAAAATTTGAGTCCAGGAATCTAAAGGCTGTTGTGACCACTGAATTATCTCCTGGAGACCTAAGTCTGTAACCAGGTCTGGCACTTAATTGAGTTCCTGGGCCTTAGTTTATTCAAGAAGATAGTTACTGCCTATTCTCCCTGGTTAGTAGATGAGATGAATGTTTATAAAATATTTGATACTGTAAAGGATAATACGTCTGTATGCTATGGAAATGAGTATGTCAGTCAAGTTCTCTGTCTCTAGACTAGGCGTTTAGGGGTATAGAAGCATTGTACTTCCCCGGGAGAGAATGTGATGTTTAGTTATATTTGCCTGGTTAATGCAGACAGCTCTCCCTTTATCTTAATATGTGTGTTGTGATTGTGAAAGAAGAGTGTGTATGTGTAGACATATTTAAATGTGTATTTAAACACTGTTTTAAACCCCTAGGGTTTTATACGAATCAGCTGCTGCCAATACTGTAAAATAGAATTTCACATGAACTGTTGGAAGAAGTTGAAAACAACAACTTTTAATGATAAAATTGACAAGGTAAGTTCACATAGTCTGGATTTTGTAGTGTGCGTAATTTATGTTGATTTTTTTCCCTGAGAATCTTCAGGAAAAGTTTTTAGTGAATATAAGTTCCTCTCTGTGCATTCTAAACATAACTAAAAAGTTTTAAATGATAAAGTAGAAAATCAGTTTTTCTTTTTATTTTATACTGGCATAAGGGCAATAACCATAGAGGCCTTTAATAAATTGTTTAACCAGTTTTTATATTAGGAATCTTATCAAAAATAAAAGTTTAAATGAGAAAACTCATGTAAGCCCCTATTCTTGTTGGAGAAAAGAGTAAGGTGCTTGTGCTAGGTATTTATTAGCAAGAGGAATTATTCAAGTTTGGTAGAAATAAGTTCTCACATTTTATGCATTTTCACATAGTTAACTAAAGATACAATGATATAACCAAATAATTGTTGCCATTGAGTCACTTTTGCTATATCTTTGTCTGACATTAACTCAGTTTCTCTAGTTACACATGCACCCTTAGTGCTCTTAACCATTCCCGTGAGTTAAAACACTCCCTGTAAATTAGTCACCTTGCACTAGGATATACGGAAGTAATACACAACCCAAGTATCTTGATTTATAATAAGAAAAGTTCATCTCTTGCTTACGTTTATTGTCCTAGAGTTCTGCGGCTGTGGGCCAGCAGCTCTTGTCTGTGTAGCTGTGTTCTTTGTTTCTGAATTGAGGTTGAAGAGTGACTGGAACATCTTCCTGTGGCAGAGAGTAAAGAGCAATGGCCAGTCTATTCAGTGTTTCTTAAAGCTTTTGTGTGGACATATGTACATTATGTCAGCTCACTCTGCATTGACCAAAGCAAGTCACGTGGTCAGCCCTACAGCTGGAAGTATATTCCTTCTACAAGGGAGGCTCTGAAAGTCAGAAGACAAGGAGCAGGGACTTCCATTGCCTCCCTAAAGGAGGTTTTAGACATATCTTGACTATTCCTAATGGTTAAAATGGTATACATATATAGATTTATTCTAAGATATAGCACTTGTTTTTTTAATCAAATAGGATTTTCTACAAGGAATTTGTCTTACCCCTGACTGTGAAGGAATCATTTCTAAGATTATCATTTTCAGCAGTGGTGGTCAAGTTAAATGTGAAGTAAGTATCTAATAGAGGGGAAATATTACCAAATTGTTAACCAAAATGTTTATAACTTTTAAAATATTTAAATTTGGGAAGTTGTACAATTTAGATCTTGTGTTTTCCAGGAGAAATGTTCTTTAAGAAAATATAGGAAATATTAGGATGTCAGAATGTATCTTTGCAATGAAGGATTCTCACATTCTTTCATTTCCTAAAAGAGGAGACTTTTTACATTTTAGTTTTACTGTGTTTATTCTTTTTGATAATCTTGTTTTCTTAATCCCCAGTAAACTTACAGGTATTAACAAGGGTGGATGGGGCGCCTGGGTGGCTCAGTTGGTTAAGCGACTGCCTTCGGCTCAGGTCATGATCCTGGAGTCCCGGGATCGAGTCCCGCATCGGGCTCCCTGCTCAGCAGGGAGCCTGCTTCTCTCTATGACCCTCCCCCCTCTCATGTGCTCTCTGTCTCTCTCATTCTCTCGGTCTCAAATAAATAAATAAAATCTTTAAAAAAAAAAAAAAACAAGGGTGGAGTTCTTAGGAAGGGGGAAGAGTGTTTTGAAGGATTACCTTTCACTTCACTATATGGGAGTGTTAGGAGTGGGTTATTCTAATGGTATTTGTAGTTTATTTGATCTGCTTACTCTTAATTTTTTTTTTTTTTTTTTGAGCTTCCTAAAGTGTGTCTACTCTTTTGTTCCTCTTTTCAGTAAATTGTTTTGCTAAAATTTTCTGGGCTTTTGTCTGGGTCAGAACATCATCCCTATTCTCTATCAAATTGATTATTGACTGTGTGTGCTTCTGAACTGCTTGTTACTTGTGGTTTTGTGCTTTACATCATGGGAGTATGAGACAAATTTTGGATGTCTTTGTTTTATTTAAAGTTTGAACACAAGGTCATAAAAGAAAAGGTTCCTCCAAGACCTATTCTGAAACAGAAATGTTCTAGGTAAGATTTTTAACAATCAATTAGTAGTTTAATGATGTCTATTAGAATATAATTCTGTTAAACGCAGATTTCTAAATTATGCTATTTTTTAAATTGGCTGTATACACATATCCAAATAAGTGGTGTTTAAATGAATTTTATGGATATTTAAAACTTAAAGAGAACTAGCCTATGGTTAAATACTAAAAGCTTGAATAAGAAGCATTATTTGGTGGTTGAATTTTTAAGTAAAATTATGACATTTGATGCTGTGAAATGACATGTTTGATTAATAGCTTTGGCATTTAGATTAAATTTACATACCTAGCTCTCCGTTGTTTAAACTTTAATTTTATCTCTCTTCAGCAAACATTTTTGAACCAATGACTGTTTCTCACCCTGAAAAACTCAATATACTATCAAAAATATTCACTTCTGTATATATTGTTTAGATCAAATAATTCCAGTCCTTTTTTTCTTCTTCTTCTTTTTGGTCCTGCTTCTTGTCCTCTATTCCAAGAAGTGATTTTTTTCATCATTTGTGACCAAGAAAAAACAAAAGAAAAGATGAACAGAATTATTTGTTGAAGAGAATTCATTGTAAACCATACCAACCAAATTCCAGTGTTGTGGGCCATTATTGGGATGTGAAAATAGTATTTTACTGTAGGAGCTTTCTTTGAAATGAGTGTACATATGTACTATCTTGCAGGGTAATTTATACCATTTTTATTTACCCTAAGCAGTAACTTATATACATGAAAACATTTGTGCAATGTGTGCATGCCACCCTTAATTAAAAGTTACTCAGTCATTGAGTTCTTGCTTTCATGAAGTAAGTACCCTAATTTTAATTGAACATGTGTCAACGGTTTTTGATACTAAAGAGAAGATGCAGGCCAAGTTCTGAATTAAAAAGGAAACTTCTAGCTTACTACTTGGAGAATGGTTTCTGTAATAGGCAGATAGTTAATTGAGTTTATAACAAAGGTAGATTATCACTAATTGTAAATGCTTATCAGCCTAGAGAAGCTAAGACTGAAAGAAGACAAAAAATTGAAGAGAAAGATCCAAAAAAAGGAAGCAAAAAAATTAGCACAAGAAAGAATGGAAGAGGACTTAAGGGAAAGTAATCCACCCAAAACTGAAGAGCAGAAAGGTATGCTGAAGTCAAAGGCATGATGAGAGTAATATCTTCTTTATTAAGAGCATAAACATAAATATCCATCTTATTGAAATCTAAATTTCAATTCATATTTTAGTACCATCATTTTCTTGTGTTGCTCTGAGATGGGGAGAGTTTGGCATAAAGAGCACTGAATTTGGAAGCAGTACATACACAGGGATAGCGGTACGCTAACTTGAGGCAAGATCTGTGTCAGTTTCCTCATCACCGAAGTGAAGGTGGAAATAATAGCTGACATGCATATTGTATGTTTGATAGTGTTCTATAAACTCCACTGTGCAGATTTAGGTTCTAAAACATTGAACATGAATTAGCTACTAATTATCTGAAATAATGCTGAGTTCAAATAAAGAAGCAGTTCATAAAAGATACTGTAGAGATTACCTAACCCAGCCTTCTGTTTTACGTTTCTCTTGTTATTATTCCCTGATCATCATGGGAATGTGATTATACTGTTCCTGTGAACATATTTACTTGCAGGTTTTTTTCTTAATTAATAAGGGTTTTTTTTTTTAATTGAGGAATAAAGGACATTATAGGAGTTTCAGGTGTACAACATGATGTATATATTGTATATTCATTTATATTGCAAAATGATCACCACAGTAAATCCAGTTAACATCCATCCCAATACATAGTTACAGAATTTGGTTTCTCATGACAAGAACTTTCAAGATCCACTCTTCTAGCTACTTTCAAATATACAATACAGTATTATTATTATTATTATTATTTTTTAAAGATTTTATTTATTTGAGACAGAGAGAATGAGAGAGAGAGAGCACATGAGAGGGGGGAGGGTCAGAGGGAGAAGCAGGCTCCCTGCAGAGCAGAGAGCCCGATGCGGGACTCGATCCAGGGACTCCAGGATCATGACCTGAGCCGAAGGCAGTCGCCCAGTGACTGAGCCACCCAGGCGCCCCTTATTATTATTATTATTTTTTTAAGTAGACTCCACACCCAGCGTGGAGCTCAGTGCAGGGCTTGAACTCATGACCCTGAGATCAAGACCTGAGCTGTGATCAAGAGTTGGACACTTAGCCAACCAACTGAACCACCCAGGCACCCCACAATATAGTAGTATTAACTGTAGTCACCATGCTGTACATTACATCCCCGGGACTACTTTCAGTTTTCAGTTGAAGGAAGTTATTCTTTCTCATTTTCTACTGTGATGGCTGTTCCCAAAATGAAATACTTCCTCTTGTTGTTTTTATTTTTTATTTAGTATTCCATTAATGTTTCACAAATCAATTAAAATTATCTTTCCTACTATAGAAGTCTCCGGTAAATGTTTGTGTTTTAACTTTGGATGCTTCAAGATGCTAAATGGCCATCCATTAGGGAGATGCCTGGGTTGGGAAGATGAACTTCTGAGTGATTTTCCAGCTTGGAATTAACTCCATGGGATCCTGTGGTTTAGGATCCAACAATAAGATGACTAACATAACAATAACTAGCAAATATTAATTGAATTCATAATTAAATGATCCTTTCAACTCCAGAAAAAAAACCCTTTGCGTTCTTAATGATTAAACATAGTTACTGAATATAAAGTATAGGTAGTGGGGCGCCTGGGTGGCTCAGTTGGTTAAGCAACTGCCTTCGGCTCAGGTCATGATCCTGGAGTCCCAGGATCGAGTCCCACATCAGGCTCCCTGCTCAGCAGGGAGTCTGCTTCTCCCTCTGACCCTCCCCCCTCTAATGCTGTCTCTCTTATTCTCTCCCTCTTAAATAAATAAATAAAATCTTTAAAAAAAAATAAAGTTTAGGGGTAGTGATGAGGCTGGGTTAGGATTGTTGAACTTTATTTTAGAGGAACTAAGTTTTTAGATGTTACATGAGTGGTATAGAGTGAAGGAGATAAGGTATTTTTGATATATTTGATTTAATGTGAACTTTCATATCTTTTGAAAGGTATTGTTAAGTATATTCCAAATTTAAAATTTCTTGAGTTTATTTAAAACATTAAGAATCCATCTGAACCATATTTTATATTATTATGTAATGTTCTATTATTTCTTTCTCAGTTTATATCTTTGCAAATTGGTCCGTTGCTCACTTCAGCTAACCACTTTTATTTGTCCTTAGAAACTGTAGACAATGTTCAGAGTTGCCAGTTCCTTGATGACAGAATTCTGCAGTGCATAAAGCAGTATGCTGACAAGATAAAATCTGGTATTCTGAACACTTCCAAGCTTCTCAAAGAATTGCTTTCTTGGAAGGTTTTAAGCACAGAAGACTACACAACCTGTTTTTCTAGCAGAAATTTTCTAAATGAAGCAGTGGACTATGTCATTCGTCACTTGATTCAAGAAAAGAATAGAGTAAAGACCAGGATATTTCTGCATGTTTTGAGCGAGCTTAAAGAAGTGGAGCCAAAATTAGCCGCCTGGATCCAGAAACTTAACAGCTTCGGTATGCCACTGAGCTCTAGAGCTGCGGCTTAGTAGGAAGGGTGGACTTCGGCCTCTGATCCCTTTTTCGTTTTTCTGTCATCATTTATGATTTTTTAAAATGTAGGACTACAGATTTGTATGGTTAAAAGTACTATTTCCTCCCAACTCACAATTTAGGTTATTTTATAGATAGGTTACAGTACACTTTCAAAAGGTGTAAACACAAGAAAGTTTAGTCAGAAAATCCAGCCCTGTATTTTGCTAAACTATTTGTAAATGTGTAAACGAAGTGAATCCTAGGCAGGTCATGGGTCAATAGCGCCCCCTGGAGGTGGCTGTCTGAGTGCCCTCCGGGATTGTGCAATTCTGTAGTCAGATTCCTTGGAAAATTTAGAGGAAGAGTGGATGGAACTAATTGCTTAGGATCGCTGAAGGCAAATCTGTATCTAAGGATTATGAGAAAAATACGCTGAGGTTGAATCTCATGATTATAAAACTCTGCTACTGTTCCTGATTTTCCTAATTTGGTGGAAGAAGACCCTGCCCTCCCCCCAAGGAGGCTCTTTGCCCAAGGCCATGCAGGGACTGCAGAAAGCAGCTGCAGATAGAGTTGTGATCTAATACTAGATTGAGATTTCTCTGGGTACGTACCAGGGCACTGTTTATCTCGGTGACTGTGGTGGTAACTGGCCTCAGATAGTGGATGATTCAATTGGCAGCTGTTGGATACAAGGCCAGTGGGAGCTATAGCGGAGCAGTCCAAAGGGTGAGACTGCCACACCTCTGCAAGTCACCCCCACCTGTTGGAATTTTTAGGGACATGGAGCTCTTAGAATTCTAGAGTTTCAGAGAATATATTGATAAATTTCTGTCCGTAGAAACAAAGGAAGATGGCAGGAAGCTCAGCATAGTTGATAGCTAAGTGTTGCTGCTTTGAGCATAGGTCTGCATGGGTTTCTGGTCCCAGGAAATCACTCTTCGGTGATAAGGTTGTCATTTGCATCTATTAACAATCAAATAAGTAAATTATAATGTTATTTTTAACTTTAATCTGCTTTGGAAGATAGATTCAGGAGAAGGAAGCTTTCTGGTTATGCTTATGTGGGCAAGAGTGCCGGCCACTGTTCTTTTAGTGTACTGTAGCATTTTGAGTGTTATAGCTCACTGATGGAAATGTTAATGTGTCCTTTTGATATAATTCACATTTATTCTGAAGATTAAAGGCATTTTAATAAGTATATAGATACTATTTAAAGTTGCGGTTTTTATTTTTAAAAAGTTCTAAAATGACTTCAAGCATGTTAATTAGTAAGATTATACTATATCCCTGATGTACAGCTCATATTTATTTATTAGAGGCCAGTAATTTCCCATTCCTGGAATTTTACTTCCTTCTCAACAAAAAGTCTATACTGTAGGGTCACATCATATGCATATTTAACATGAGAGGTCAGTTTATATGTGGGATGTGGGGGAGAGTAAAGTTTTAATACTAGAATTGACCTCTTGCCTTCCCTTCAATGAGCACATTTTTCATGCAGCAGGACCTCTGCAAGGTAACTGTTTCATCTGGAGGAAACAGCCATCCAGGGTAATTTTGACTCAGCAGTCTGCTTCATGTGCTGACTGAGAAACTATGGCTGACATAAGAGGCGATTGTGCTGTATTCGATGTGGGTGGGAAGATGGACCAGAACTAGTCTTTGCCTTTGGTAGCTGTGTTAGTAAGGGTAGGGGCTCACCATCCCTTCAGAACAGTGCTGTGAGGTTGCAGCCACTTCTTTTTCTGATTTTTTAGAAGGTGGAATAAAAGTGGGAATAGTGACCATCCTGATTTTTGGAGGAGGGAAAGGAGTCATTAATGGAGGTGTTGGGGGGTTTGTTTACCCCTTTCCTGTTGTAAAGGCTCTTGGGAAGCATTTGCATATTCTTGTTACTATGGAATATATGTAGAAAAGCACTAAAATCTTGCTGGTTTGTACTGATTAGAATGAAAATCTTTTTGAATTAGTAAAAGTTGTTATATTTTTACAGGAATTTAATGCCTTGTTTTCATTGCCAAAGTCTAATAAAAATGACCATAGAAGCTTATAAGATATGAGCTATTATGTAAGAAGCCTTTGGCCCACCTTATTCAACTAATAGATAAGAACTATTGTAATTAGCATATCATTAAGTGGTATTCCTAAAATGCAAAATAGCTCGAACAAGTTTGTAATCAGATATGTGTTTTCACTGAAAATGTCGGCAAACTATAACCGAACTGCTTTCAGAGATGTAAAATTGAATGTGATTTTATGGTATATGATTTTCCCTTTTTCTGATTTGGGTTTTGTTTTTTTTATAGGTTTAGATGCCACAGGACCTTTTTTTTCTTGTTATGGAGCGTCTCTTAAGGAGCTTGATTTTAGCATCATGACTTTTCTCTGGAATGAGAAATATGGTCATAAACTAGCCTCTATAGAGGGAAAGCAACTTGATTACTTCTGTGAGCCAACATCACTGAAGGAAGCGCGGTGTTTAATATGGCTGCTAGAAGAGCACAGAGACAAGTTCCCCGCACTGCATAATGCTCTAGATGAGTTCTTTGACATAATGGGTGTGTGAGCTGAGTTTCAATTTATATTATATCTGGGCTGGGGGGGGAATACAAATCTGTGAAGGACCTAGCTTATTTAATACTTGGCAAAATAGTGAGAATTATTATGGTACACCTGCTTATTTGGGCAAGTAAGTGATTAAGAAGAGTGGTTTTTTGTTTTGTTTTGATGTCATAAAATGTTTTTACTCTGTTGAGCTAAGTGTTATAGGGGTGCTCAGATGGGTGTGTTACACTAATTGCACACCATACTGTTCTCATCTTAGATACATTGACAGTATCATGGCAAAGGTTGCATATTAAATGGACAGAATTTATCAGTAAATGGTTTAAATTGTAACCTTCAAGAAAACATCGCCCTGCAGAGGAGGTGATATTTGCAGAATCTAGAAATAGCACAGCTGTTGTAGTGGGAAAACTTAGATTGGGGTGGGAAAACTTAGACTGGGGAATCGGGAAAAGTAGGCTGTGGCCCAGCTTCTGCCCTAATTCAGTTCATTAGTTTTTACTACTGCTTTAAGGCCCCTGCCCGAGCTGGGTGTTAGCCAGGAACTCAGAAATGCTTATGCTAGTCCCTGCCCTCAAGGACCTTATATTGTGGAAAAGGGAATAAGATGAATATACAAATAACTAATATGGACATAAGCTCAGTAAGAGAGGACCAGAAAGAGTGCTGGCGGTTCAAATGGAGGATCGAGCACTTGTGTTCTTCCTGGGGAAGATGAAGCCTTGGTGCAGGGCTAGAGTCCGAGCTGTGAACATGGATGTAGTCGGATTGGTGGACATCAGACTTAGAGACATGGGGTTGAGAGGAGTTGGGTCACCTGTTTGGGTAGCAGCATGGAGTCCCAGTTTAGCAGAATAGGGTGACTAGCAGTTAATTCCTTAGCTTCTCTTGGATCTTAGTTTCTTCATCATTGAAGTTATAGGATTTGGAGCCAATGGTCTCTGTGGTCCCATTTTGCTTCAGAATTCTAATATTCTTAGATTCTAAACTGATTTTAACTTATTCTCTTTGGTACTTAGTGTGTGTCTTATGATACCCCTCCCCCCTTTTCCCTCAGCATTTCTCAGCACCTCCTTTACGGACTGTCAGGAGTTAGACTTTTAAATTTCATGCTTTTTTTTTTTTTTTTAAAATTTTATTTATTTATTTGAGACAGAGAGAATGAGAGAGATAGAGCACATGAGAGGGGGGAGGGTCAGAGGGAGAAGCAGACTCCCTGCCGAGCAGGGAGCCCGATGCGGGACTCGATCCAGGGACTCCAGGATCATGACCTGAGCCGAAAGCAGTCGCTTAACCAACTGAGCCACCCAGGCGCCCTTCATGCTTTTTTTTTAAAGGGCACATTAAAAGGTCTGGCCTTGTACAAAAGTATCACACATTACAAAGTTCATATGTAAAAGGAACTAAGAAGCCTGCTTTTGTTGTGGTTCTTAGGAAGGAGCACTTTCAAATATAAGATGGCTTTATTTTTCCAGGACACAGCTTCGTGACTGGAGGCAACATGCTACTTGATAGCCTGAATTTATTGCCATCAGTTTGCTGCTGCTGGTAATACAATGCTATCCGGCAACTGAGCTTATAAAACCTGATGCTTGGATCACACAACAAAATAACTAAAAAGGACACCCTCTTAGTGTGCATTTTTTTGTACCCCAACTATGCAGTCCATCTGGCTGACTGTTCCTCTGCTTTTAGTCATAGTCTGAAGCCACCAGCCAAATGACCAGCCATCCCAACAGATTTTCCCCTCTAATAGCTCTGCTTCTCACTCTTATCCCAGATATTTTCAGTTTTATCTCTTTTCATTTAAAGGGATGATTATATTTCTTAAAACTTTCCAGAATCCACTGGTCTTGTAAATAAAAGTATTCAATAATGTCACCAATGCTATGATAATTTGGAGTTCCAGCCTCTCTCCTGAACTCTGTATACTCTTTTCCTGTATTTCTTTGTAGACAGCTAACAGGCCCCTTAAGAGCAGTGTGGCTGAACCCACTTATTATATCCCTAGAGATCTGTTTTTCCTAAAATTATTCTTAGTAACATTGTTGTATATCTTGTATCTAAGCAGGAAACCCTGAAATTAGTCTCAGTTCTTCCTTTTTCCTATTACCCTGTGTTTAGTTTGTCACTGGTCCAGTAAGCTTTATCTTTGATCTGTCCTTTCCTGTCCATCTCCATTTCCCTACGTCAGAGCCTTAGTAATCTCTCCGTGATTAGACCATCCTGGTAGCCTCCAAACTGGTCTCTGTGCCTCTAGACCTTCCCATCCAGATCTTCCTCTTATATTGCCACTAGTGACTCTTCTAGAACATCTGATTCTGTAACGATTTTGTTAAACACTTCATTTTGCCTACATATTAAATTCACATCATCTGTCTGGGTTTATCATCACTCTCCCCATCTGCCCTCTGTATATACATCTCATTTCTTGAAAGTGCCCAAACCTTCCTTGTGCTTTCCTGCCTTGTGTCTTTGCTCAGACATTTCCTCCGACCATGTCTTACTCCTTTGCTTGTTTATTTCAAGTCTCACTTTAATATTGCCTCCCCACCTCCAAGTCCTCCCTGACCTCTCCTTGGGCCTTTATCCTTGAAAACTTTATTATTCCATCAGTTTTGTTTCCATTGTCTTTGTTGAGGCACTTAGCACACTGGGTTACAAGTATTTACCTGTTAGTGTATTTTGCACAATACAAGTTTAGAACACAGCTTGTCTGTGGCAGGGACTATTCTCTGCATTTCTGTATTCCTGGCACCTAGCATAGAGTTTGACCCCCAGAAAACACTCAAATCATGCTGAATTGGATTCACATTTTGTGGTTCTTTGTGATTGGTTTCCATTTATTTGGCCTTTTTGCTCTTGGTTTTTTAAAATAATTTGTGTCAAAGTTAAATAAGGAGTAGAACATAGTGGATGATAGTAGTATCTGGGGTGGTTCTCTTTAAGGCTTAATGTGTTGTTTGGCAGTGCAAAATTTTCATTTTCTCACAAATCATTGGTATTTTCCTACAGACAGCCGCTGTACTGTATTAAGGAAACAAGACAGTGGCGATGTGCCGGTAAGTTACTTGATCGCTTTAACTGTAGTGTGCTAATCTGTGTTAGCCAAAGGAAGAGAGGAGTACCCAGGCCAGTGTTTATTTACATCACAGTGGCATTCTAGAACCAAATCTGGAGGATTTCTGGCTGATTTATGCTAATTTATTAGACAGTTAATACCAATCTTCCTCTTAGAGTGACAGCAAACTTGGAGGCTTAAATTAGGCAGTGTCCATAAAGTTTTGCAACTAATAAATGTTAATCTCAGAAATAGGGAAGGAGTTGTTGAGTCATCTCCTGGCATAAAAATGAAAAGTTATCTGTAATGATTAAAATTTTAATGTTTTGCTCTGTAAGGAAAATAAAGAGACTTTGTTTTGAATGGCTCCAAACTGAGTTTAAGTTAAAATAATCCCAGAGTTTTTCTTAGTAGGTTGTGGCAGTTTTCAGACAGAAAGATGCTTATTTACTAATTTTTAGGATCAGGTCATCTGTACTTGAAAATTTGTCTTAATCTGCTGTTAAATACTGCCCAGCTAAATATGGAAACACAGATAACACACCCATGGGAAGTTAAATGTCTTTTAAGTCCACTGTGACCCCAGAGTTTGGCCAGGTGTAGAGTGTCTAGTTTAGCTTAGTAAAAGGAATGTCATTAGAACGCTAGTAGCATATAACTGGAATTACTCTAAAAGACTGATTAATTGCTTGAAATAACATAAACCTTCTTACAAATGAGTTTAAAATGTTGGAGCAATTTTAGTTATAACATAGTCAAAATTGAGCTTTCTCTTATTTTCTGTTATAAATCATAACACTAGGGCTAACATACTAAATGTTACATTTGTTGAGCATTTTTGTTATTTTTGTTACATATATTCAACTTGTGGCTAAAACAAGTATGATATTTTTATTTTGAGCTTCGTAATTCTGTTATTTGAGTTTTCATTGTTTTTTCCCCTCCATTTTTCCAGTTTAATTCTGCTAAGATAAAAAATAAAGGCAAGAAAAAGAAGCCAAAAGATTCAAAGGTACATTTTCTGTATCAATTCTTGTATAAAGTAATTGAATATATAAATTAGAATTAACCAATTTGGGGGGATATTTTGAAGCATTTTGTAGAGAAAGACTTCTTTTTTTTTTAAGATTTAATCTAAAATTTGCTCCAATCCAATGAGATAAATAGGGTCCTGTTTATCTTACGGTGGGTTCTCCTTGGCTGTCATATATGTGGGGGCTCAGGAGGGCAGGAGTTGAGACAGGGAACAAATATTAGAGGAGGAGGAGCATGAGAGCAGCTGTTTGTAAGTTCCACTAAAATTTGTCTTTTTATCTTTGACATTTAAAATTTTTTTGGAGCATTGAAAGCTACCTAAATGTTAATTTGGGCATATTTATGGCTGTTGAACTTTTATTACTATGTGTTCCTATACACAAGAAAAATTTAGATGAGTCATATATTGGCAGTTTGCATGCGTATTTATTTAAGCGTTCATCAGTTTTAATGCTAATTTTTTCATGGAATCTTAAGGTGGAAAATCATTTTCATTTTTCTGTCTTTTAAATAGCCTATGTTAGTGGGGTCTGGAACAGCTTCAGTAACAAATAATGAGACTATCACTTCAGGTGAAGACCATAAGTAAGTACAATTAAAATTTTTTGCTTCCTTTTAACTCAAGTGTATTAACTCAGCAAGTGGTGTTAATTTAACGTAAATTAAACTTGTGTTTTATTTCCCTAACTTCACTGTCTAAAGATGTGCATCTGTTATGACAAGCTGGTGTGATCCATCTTGGTTGGATTTATAGCATGGCTTGTCTGCATTAAGAATTCATACAAATTACATTAAGATCACTGGGCTAATGACATTTATTAGATCAGTTTGGGAGCTTACTATGTGCAAGATACTTGGGAAAATCCTAGAAAATAGTCCTTAAAATGTTCAGTGAAAAGAATGACCTATGGATAATCACTAGAATGTTTGCTATAGTAGGATTGAGGAAGACGTTTCGGAAGCTGTATATGATGTTGTGTTTTTTTTTTTTTAAGATTTTATTTATTCATTTGAGAGAGAGAGCACAAGCAGGGGGAGAGGCAGAGGGAGAGGGAGAAGCAGACTCTGCTGAGCAGGGAGCCTGATGCAGGGCTCGATCCCAGGACCCTGGGATCATGACCTGAGCCGAAGGCAGATGCTTAACCATCTGAGCCACCCAGGCGCCCCTGATGTTGCGGTTTAACCTTAGATGTGAGCAATTTTCAGTTGTGTCTGGTTGTTGAAACTGAGTTTTCAGGAAACAGACATAAGAAGAAGTAAAAGTAGTGAGTAGCAGTGACCTTTTTATGTCATATTCCTTGATGGACTAGAAGCCTACAATTTTTTTTTTCACATTTCTTAAAGGAGTTTTCATAACAGCTGCTTTCCCACAGTCATTTTCATGGATTCTTTAAGTGGAGGAAATTATTTTAAGTTAAAATAGTAATAGCCTATACTTAGATAACACTTATGGTACCACGTGCTATTCCATTAGCTTTACATCTATAAACTCATTGAATCCAGTCTTCCACTCTAAGAGGTAAGTACTATTATTATGTCCATTTTACAGATAAGGAGGCTACTCATGCACAGTATAGTTGAATGGTATAGTTGAGTGATGTGCCCAAGAACCTGAAGCTTGTAAATAGCAGAGCCAAAGAATATAACCCAGGAATCTGGTTTTAGAACTCACACTGAAACTACCACATCTTTTTACAAATGCTAGAATCTTATATTTTAGGAAAAAAAAAATCTTTTTATAATAAAATCCTTCATTTTTCTCTTTAACAAGTTACAATTAATGTAACATTGATACTTTTAAAACCAGGAGTTTCAAAAAATTTGCTCTTGGGAGCAAGGGTAGGTACTTAATTAAAAGTGCTTACTCAGTGGTCAGGCGAAGATGTATAATTGTGGAAGGGTAACTTTTCTACATTTAATTCTCTGGTAGTGTTTTTTTGCATTGTAAAGCTGAGTAATATGTTACTATCTTTACATTTATTTCAATTTAAATATTATCTGGGTCACCTCACAAGTTTATGATTCACAAAATTGTTTTTTTATCAGCAGACGCAATTCAAATTCTGCAGGCCCATTTGTGGTACCTGACCACCTTCGGCAAGATGTAGAAGAATTTGAAGCTATCTATGAGCAGCACAGTAGTGAATATGTTGTCCGTAATAAGAAGCTGTGGGACATTAACCCAAAACAAAAGTGTTCAACTCTGTATGAGTAAGTAGTTTAACATGCCTACAAGTATTATTTTATACTGATGCTGCCAGTTAAAGATCGCAAGTTGTTTGTGTCGATTGTGCTTATTAAAGGAATCATTCATTGGCTCACAAACCTGGGGAAGAAAAGTATTTTTACAGCTTTTGGTATTACACAGAGTTAACTGAGTGTTTTTAACTATTAAATTTAGAATCCTAATGATTTATGATTATTAGTGGTTTTGTCAGTTTGAGCTGCTTAATACAGATATTTTCTATTTCTAAAACTGACCTGGTGTATGCTGACAGGACCTATAAAGTTTCCAGCCATAATCTTTTTTTTAAAGATATATTTATTTGAGAGAGAGAGAAAGAGACATACACACACATGTGCATGGGTAGGGGGAGGGGCTGAGGGAGAGAATCTTCAAGCTGAGCGTGGAACCGGACACTGGGTTCAATCTCATGACCCGTGAGGTCATGACCTGAGCCGAAACCAAGAGCTGGACACCTAACGGACTGAGCCATCCAGGCGCCCCCCGCCCAGCCATAATCTTTTATCATGAATTCCAAGGCATACAGTACTCTTCCTTTATCCTTAGTTTTGCTTTCCCAGGTTTCACTTACCTGCCGTCAATCGTGGTCTAGAAGCCGATGGTCCTCCTTCTGACATATTGTCAAAAGGTCATTAGTAGCCTAACATTACCTCACAGTGCCTATGTCTCTCACCTCACTTCATCTCATCGTGTAGGCATTTTATCATCTCCCATCATCACAAGAAGGGCAAGTGCAGTGCAATAAGATATTTTGAGAGAGAGACCACATTCACATAACTTTCATTACAGTATATTGTAACTGTTCTATTTTATTATTAGTTACTGCTATTAATTTCTTATTGCACCTAATTTATAACTTAAACTTTATCATAAGTATGTATGCGTAGGAACAAAACAGTATATATAGAGTTCCGTACTATCTGTGGTTTCAGGCATCCCTAGCAGTCTTGGAACGTATCTCTCATGGATAAGGGTGGAGTTACACATTTGACAAAGAGTAGTTATTGATTATTTGATGATTATTTGATCTTACTGTTCCTTTGTTGATGGATGCGGATGTTTAGCATCTCATAAATCCAGTGACAAGTTAATAAGTCTGAGTGGGGTGGATAAAATAATGGAGTAAAGAGTTCAGGAAAATCTAGGAAGCAGTTAACCGTTTGAGCTTGGTATTATTAAGGTATTGCTACCTTCCTTAAGAAGAGAAATTGAGGGCTAAGACCTGCAGTAAAAAATTAATTTAGAAGCTAACTATTCTCGCAGAAAACCTGTCACACATCCATAATTTAGTCATTCCTTCTGTTTTCCCCAGTTGCATTATTCCTATTCAGTCTAGTTATGCTCATAGGTCCCTCTTCATGGTTTTTCTTTTTTTTTTTAATATTTTATTTATTTATTTGAGAGAGAGAGAATGAGAGACAGAGAGCATGAGAGGGAGGAGGGTCAGAGGGAGAAGCAGACTACCCGCCGAGCAGGGAGCCCGATGCGGGACTTGATCCCGGGACTCCAGGACCATGACCTGAGCCGAAGGCAGTCGCCCAACCAACTGAGCCACCCAGGCGCCCCTTCATGGTTTTTCTTTAGAGTTGAAATGCTGAGCAAATCATATTTCCAGAGAACTTTCCTGGATGACCATATGGAAACAGCTATAAAACTACACTAGTATTTCATAAAATATGGTAGGCTTTGCTTCAGGCATCCAAAACTGAAGCTGAACTGTGTTGTTTTGAGGACCTTGCTTCTTAAAGAATTTATTACTATTATAAGTGGGAGGAAATTAAACAACTTCATGAGGAAAAAAAATAGGCTGAGTTGTATTTTGAGATAGAACTTAAAGTCATGAAGTTGCAGGAAGTTTCACCTCAGAAACAGTTGTTTCTTTGAATTTTCAAAAGTAGACATGTGATGATGGCCTTAAGAATGATTTCTTTTGGGGGCTCCTGGCTGGTTCAATCAGAGGAGCGTGTGACTCTTGATCTCGGGGTTGTGAGTTCAAGCCCCATACCACGTGTAGAAATTACTTAAATGAATAAATAAACAAAAACTTTGAAAAGAAAAAAAAAAGATTTATTTTAGTGGCCAGTGGATAAAAGAAAGAAAAATGAAACCACTCAATTTTCTTTATGACAAGAGTGTAGAGTAGAAAAATTACTAGACAAGGAATCAAGAATATTGGGATAACTGCTATTAACTTTATCTTAAGTATTTATTTCACCATGAAGTAGGTGATTAGACTGATTGGAGTTTAATTGACCTAATGCCCTTCTAGTTCTAGTATTTTATGATTTTAGATATTTGAAGCAAATTAAATTTCAAAAAAATTTTTTTTTTTTTTTAAAGATTTTATCCATTTATTTGACAGAGAGAGAGACAGCGAAAGAGGGAACACAAGCAGGGGGAGTGGGAGAGGGAGAAGCAGGCTTCCCGCGGAGCAGGGAGCCCGATGCGGGGCTCGATCCCAGGACCCTGGGATCATGACCTGAGCCGAAGGCAGACGCTTAACGACTGAGCCACCCAGTCGCCCCGAAGCAAATTAAATTTCAGTGGGTAGTATTCTGCATTTAGCTTTTCCTAACACCTCATTAGTGGTGTTAATTAGTCGGCCATCATTTATTAACCACTTGCGGTTAAGGCCTGTGGAAGATTGCAGCTTTCATGCAGCTTGCAGGTAGCAGGAGAGCTAAATTGATCATAGGTCGGGTCACAGTGTATTGCAAATAAAATTACTCTGAAATAAGAATCATGAACTTGTACAAAACAGTGACTTTTTCAAAGGACCACAGCTACAAGACTGGGGTGGGGATGGCCAGCCATGACCATTTCAGACACTAACAGTCATCATCCAATTATGAAAATATATGTACATACATATATAACATAAGACCTGTTAATATCTCTGATATAAGTAGCCTTTTTTTTTTTTTTTTTTTTTAAACTCCTGTCATGTGCAGGGTGCCTCGTTTTTGCCTCTGGTCCTGAAGTGCAGAGTCTGAGACTTTGAACGAGAGGAGGCGATGATGAGAGGGGAGATGCATCTTGCGTAACTTGACAGAAGCTGAGTCAGCCTCACCATTTCAGTTCTTATCTAGCATCTTTCATTAGAGCTTTGACCTCTTTCATTCATGTCTGCTAAATAGCCACATCAATACCACTGTTGAGTGTGCATTGATGGATGGATTCTAACCCCTGTAAAACACTGGATTATTAAGAATTCATATTTATGCTATTTTGGATCCACTGTTTATCTTACAGAGATGATTTTTCAAGGCTAGAAAAGATCTATAAATAGAGTTAAAGTTCATTTTGTGTTGCATTTCAAATAATAGTGACTATAAAAATTTTACTCATGGTTATAAAGGTTTGGTCCCTTTGGGCTAGGGACCCGTGTTAAATTTTGTTCTGCTTCAGTGTTTGAAAAATTCATTGCTACTTAGCCAGTGGAAAAAATGTGGAGGCTCTAATTCTTTGAAAAAATTTTTTTTCTGATTGTAAAATTAATAATATAAATTACGGGGCGCCTGGGTGGCTCAGTTGGTTAAGCAACTGCCTTCAGCTCAGGTCATGATCCTGGAGTCCCGGGATC